ACAGGTGTACACCATCATGCTCAGCTAATTTTTGTATTTTTAGTAGAGACGGGATTTCACCATGTTGGACAGGCTGGACTCGAACTCCTGACCTCAAGTGATCTGCCCACTTCAGTCTCCCGAAATGCTGGGATTACAGGTGTGAGCCACCACACCCAGCCTCTTGAGTAAGTTTTTTTTTTTTTTTTTTTGAGATGGAGTTTCGCTCTTTGTTACCCAGGCTGGAGTGCAATGGCGTGATCTCGGCTCACCGCAACCTCCGCCTCCTGGGTTCAGGCAATTCTCCTGCCTCAGCCTCCTGAGTAGCTGGGATTACAGGCACACGCCACCATGCCCAGCTAATTTTTTGTACTTTTAGTAGAGACGGGGTTTCACCATGTTGACCAGGATGGTCTCGATCTCTTGACCTCGTGATCCACCCGCCTCGGCCTCCCAAAGTGCTGGGATTACAGGCTTGAGCCACCGCGCCCGGCTTGAGTAAGTTTTAATAGTTTGTGTATTCCTAGGGATTTGTCTATTTATCTAGGGTATCTAACTTGTTGGCACAGTTCTCCGTAATATTCTCATACAATCCCTCTTCTAGGTGTAAGATCAACAGTAATGCTTCTACTTTCATTCCTGATCTTTCTTTCTCTCGGTCAGCTTGTCTATTTTGTTGATTTTTTTTCCTGAAAAGACAGATTTTTAGTTTTCTTTATTCTGTTGGTTTTCCATTATTTCATTTGTCTTCATCCTAATCTTTATTATTTCCTTCTTTTTGCTTGCTTTGATCTTAATCTTAATGCAAGTTCCTTGAGGTAGAAGATTGCGTTATTGATTTGTGATATTTCTTTTTGTAATGTAGGCATTTACGGCAGTAAATTTCTCCCTGAGCAGTGCTTTCAATGCACCCTATATGTTTTGGTATATTGCATTTTTGTTTAAATTCAACTAGTATTTTCTAATTTTCGTTCTGATTTTTTTCTTTCGTTTTTCAACAATATGTTTCTCCATGAAGGCCTAGATTTTTTTTTTTTTCTTTTTTTTGAGACGGAGTTGCTTTTGTTACCCAGGCTGTAGTGCAATGGCGCAGTCTCGGCTCACTGCAACCTCCACCTCCTGTATTCAAGCGATTCTCCTGCCTCAGCCTCCTGAGTAGCTAGGATTACAGGGGCCCGCCGCCATGACTGGCTAATTTTTACGTTTTTAGTAGAGACAGGGTTTCACCATGTTAGCCAGGCTAGTCTCGAACTCCTGACCTCAGGTGATCCGCCTACCTTCGCCTCCCAAAGTGCTGGGATTATAGGTGTGAACCACTGTGTCTGAACTTTTTTTTTTTTCCTGAGACAGGGTCTCTCTGTCACCCAAGCTGGAGTGCAGTGGCATCATCTCGGCTCACTGCAACCTCTGCCTCCCGGGTTCAAGTGATTCTCCTGCCTCAGCCTCCCAAGTAGCTGGGATTAGAGGTGTGTGCCACCACACCTGGGTAACTTTTTTTATTTTTAGTAGAGATGGGGTTTTACTATGTTGGCCAGGCTAGTGTCAAATTCCTGACCTCAAGTGCTCCACCTGCCTCGGCCTCTGGAAGTGCTGGGGTTACAGGCGTGAGCCATCACACCCCGCCCGCCTTGTGATTTCTTCTTTGTGATTTCCACATACCTCTGACTTGTCCAATTTTCCATCTATTAATGATATTTAGCTTCATTCCATTATGTTCAGATGAGATACTTTGTATGACTTTAATCTTTTTTTTTTTTTTTTTTTTTTTTTGAGACGGAGTTTCGCTCTTGTTACCCAGGCTGGAGTGCAATGGCGCGATCTCGGCTCACCGCAACCTCCGCCTCCTGGGTTCAGGCAATTCTCCTGCCTCAGCCTCCTGAGTAGCTGGGATTACAGGCACGCGCCACCATGCCCAGCTAATGTTTTGTATTTTTAGTAGAGATGGGGTTTCAACGTGTTGACCAGGATGGTCTCGATCTCTTGACCTCGTGATCCACCCGCCTCGGCCTCCCAAAGTGCTGGGATTACAGGCGTGAGCCACCGTGCCCGGCCGACTTTAATCTTTTAAAGTTATTGAGGCCAGGCATGCTGGGTCATACCTGTAATCCCAGCACTTTGGGAGGTCGAGGTGGGTGAATCACTTGAGGTCGGCAGTTTGAGACCAGCCTGGCCAACATGGGGAAACCCCGCCTATACTAAAATACAAAAAATTAGTTGGGAGTGGTGGTGGGTGTAGTCCCAGATACTCAAGAGGCTAGGGCAGGAGAATCGCTTGAGCCCGGTAGGCAGAGGTTGCAGTGAGCCGAGATCTAGCCACTGCACTTAAAAGTTATAGAGACATTTGTGGCCATTTTGTGGCAGTGGCGGGCTGCCCAGAGTGGGAACGCTCAGCTGTAGCTGCCCTGCCACAGCTCCTGACCCAGGCACCTGTGTGCACTTGGGTGCTTGGGAAGACCCCCTACCCCATGCAGGCTTGGAAATGCCTTTTCCCACTGCCTGGCTTCTCCCGGCTGTTGGTGCCCACCCTGATCTTGGAGCCAAGTTGGGACTGAGCCTGGGCACTGTCGCAGCCCAGCCAGGTGTACACATGCTGAGAGCAGTGCGGACATGCCAGCCCCCTGCTGCCTTGGCCCCCCTCTGGACTTTGGGTGCCAATAAGCATGGGAGGGAAACCAGGGGTGCTGAGGACAGCCTGGTGCTGGCCTGCAGTTGCCCCTTGGCGTGAACAGCCTGGGTGCCATGCATAGGGGCAGGAGGCAGATAGGCTCCTGGGTGGAAGTGGGCGGGTCCCTGGTGAAGCCCCACCTTCAAGCTGGGGAAGGCTGAAGTGCGGGGGGGGTGACAAGGCCAGGCTGGGAGTCCTGCGTATCAGAGGCGGAACCTGAGGTTCTTTTCCCTGAGCCTGCGCATGGCCGTCCATGGCTGCACATTGACCACTCAGCACACACTTCCTCCCCTCCAACACCCATAAAAACCCCAGATTCACCCAGACTCAAAGAAAGGATGGGGAGACAATGGAGAGATGACGGGACGAGCAGCTGCGGAGAGGAACTGCCCTCTCTGTCCAGAGCTGAACACTCATCAGGACACCTGGCTGCGGAGAGGAGCTGCCCACTGAGGGTCTTCTCTGAGCTGTTCTAACACTCACTAAAGCTCCTCTTTGTCTTGCTCACCCCCCACTTGTCTGTATACTTCTTTCTTCCTGGATGCAGGACAAGAACTTGGGACCCACCAAATGGCGAGGCTAAAAGAGCCGTAACACAAACATGGGAAACATCCCCCTTGCTCACCATATTGTAGGTGAAGAGGAGAGAAAAGCCACAGCCCTCTGGGGGCCCAGACCTGGGAGGTCCCCAAGCCAGGGTTGTGACTCCCTCTCTGGGGCCCTGTGGTTCCTGGTGTCTCCAAGCTTCCAGACACCACCACATTCTTTGGTGCCAGCCAAGGAAGCTGCTTGCAGTGGCACCTGTGCCAGCACCTGGAGCTGCTCACCCCACGACAGCAGCCGGCATGTCTGACTGTGCACGGTGGCTGGACCCCATGCTCACTCACACACCCTTCGCTGTTCCACGCTTGACTCCAGTTTCCCTTGTAGGCATGGGATCCAGGCTGGTAGGGTGAGCCTGCCGGGCTGAGTGGGCAGAACAAGCCCAGGGGCCTCAGCAATGGCACCACCAGCCACAGAGGTCTCCAGTCAGAAAAGCAACACCCTAAAGATCCCACAACACTAGCATACAGTCTGTACTGGAGAATGTTCCATGTGCACTTGAAACAAACACAGATCGTGGTGTTCGGTGGAGTTTCTGCATAAGTTTGCTAAGTCTAGTTGGCTTATAGCATTATTCAAGTCTTTAACTGCCTTGCTGATCTCATGTCTAGGTATTCTATCCATTATTGAAAGTGGTGGCTGGGTGTGGTGGCTCATACCTGTAATCCCAGCACTTTGGGAGGTTGAGGCAGGCGGATCACTTGAGGTCAGGAGTTCAAGACCACCCTGGCCAACATAGTGAAACCCTGTCTCTACCAAAAATACAAGAATTAACTAGGTGTGTTGGCACATGTGTGCGGTCCCAGATACTCAGGAGGCTGAGACAGAAGAATTGTTTGAACCCAAGGGGCGGAGGCTGTAGTGAGGTGAGATGTGCCACTGCACTCCAGCCTGGGTGACAAAGCCAGACTCCATCTCCACAAAACAAAACAACAACAAAAAGAGAGTGGGGTGCTGGCTACACACAGTGGCTCATGCCTGTGATCGCAGTACTTTGAGATGCCAAGGCAGGCGGATTGCTTGAGCCTAGGAGTTGGAGACCATTCTGGCAACGTGGCAAAACCCATCTCTAGAAAAAACACACACACGCAAGTTAGCCAGGCATGGTGATATGCACCTGTGGTCTCAGCTACTTGGGAGACTGAGGTGGAAGGATCACTTGGGCGTAGAAGGCAGAGGTTGCAGTGAGCCAAGATCACTCCAGCCTGGGCAACGGAGACCCTGTATGGGAAAAAAAAAAAAAAAAAAAAATAAGAGAAAATGGAGAGTTAAAGTCTTCAACTATTACTGCTGGACTAATGTTTCTCACTTCGATTCTGTTGGTTTTGCTCATCTGTGTCGGAGCTCCGCTGTTACGTGCATGGATGTTTATAATTATTATACACTTTTTAATGCATTGAGCATTTCAACACTATATAATATTCTTTTTCATTTCTTATAACAATTTCTGTCTTAAAGTCTATTTTGTCTGATATTAGCATAGCCAGGCAAGCTCTCTTTTAGTTACTGTTTACATAAAATACCTTTTTCATACTTTCACTTTTAACCTATTTCATTTTTGACCGTAAAGTGACTATCTTATATACAGACAGAACATAGTTAGATCCTGTTTTTTTTTAAAAAAAATCCATTCTGTCAATCTCTGCCTTTTACTTGGAGAATTTGATTCGTTTAGATTTAACATAATTATTTATGCAGAAGTATTTACGTCTGTTATTTTGCTATTTGTTTTCTAAATATCTTAACCTTTTAATGCTCAAAATGGATTTATTTGAAGGTTTCACAATAGCTATGTCCAGGCATTTAGGCTTATGGGAAGTAAAATTAAAAGAGGATACTTTTTTCCCAAGGAGAATTTCCTTAAAACCAAGTATATTGCTGAATAGCAACACTATACTTGGTAAACAATAATTAGCAACAAAATAAGTTTCATATTCTGCCCAAACCAGGCCCAGACACTGTTTAATAACCAAGATACAAACTAATTTTGTTGTAACAAGCCTAGACCAATTTTATCAAACATGTCCTTGGTTAGATATCTGGTGTCATTTAACATTTTGGAAGCTCATTTGGCAGCCAGTCAAGTCCCTCACACAAACCAGTTGCTTGTGCTGCACAGGTGGCTTGAACATGCAGTGTTCTGCTACGAAGAAGCTGAAGCCCTCGTTTATCTGTCATTTCACTGAGGGCCACAGCATTTGGCAAATCCTGTTTGTTTGCAAAAAGCAGCGGCACTGCCGGGCATGGTGGCTCACGCCTGTAATCCCAGCACTTTAGTGAGTGGATCACCTGAGGCCGGGAATTCGACACCAGGCTGACCAACATGGAGAAACCCCAACTCTACTAAAAATACAAAATTAGCCAGGTGTGGTGGCGCGTGCCTGTAGTCCCAGCTACTCAGGAGGCTGAGGCAGGAGAATTGCTTGAACCTGGGAGGCAGAGGTTGTGGTGAGCCGAGACTGTGCCATTGCACTCCAGCCTGGGCACCAGAGCAAGACTCCATATCAAAAAAAAAAAAAAAAAAAAAAAGCAGCACTGCGCCACTCAAGTAATCTACCAGAGGCCTGGCCTTGCCTTCCCTTGCCTTGCCTTGCTCTGCTCTGTCCTGCTCTGCCCTTCCCTCCCTTCCCCTCCCCTTCCTCCCCTCCCTCTCCTCCCCTCCCTCCCTTTCCTCCCCTCCCTCCCTTTCCTCCCCTCCCGTTCCATTTCCTCCCCTCCCCTCTGCTCTCTTCCCTTCCCTCTCTCTTTGGACAGGCTGGAATGCAGTGGCACCATCTCGGCTCCTGGCAACCTCCACCTCCTGGGCTCAAGTGATTCTCCTGCTTCAGCCTCCCCAGTAGCTGGGCGGGCCACCACACTCGGCTAATTTTTGTATTTTTAGTAGAGATGAGGTTTCACCATATTGGCCAGACTGGTCTCAATCTCTTGACTTCATGATCTGCCCACCTTGGCCTCCCAAAGTGCTGGGATTACAGGTGTGAGCGACTGTGCCCGGCCACCAGAAGCATTTTCTGCAGCTCATCTGCTACGTCCTGAATTCTTTCATGACCATTGCTATCCACCAGAGAACTAAGACCCTGAGTATTCTTAAAGTGATGCTTCCAGAGAGTCTAATTCTATCTTGACTACCAACATCCCATACCGTGAAACAAATGTTCTTATATTCTACTGGCCACGGCGACATTTTTCATGCCCCTGTTTATGCCCACGTTAAAACCAGTGGTAGGAATGGTGGTGACTACCTCCCCTAACTTCAGTTTATACAGAATGGTCATCTTGCCAGCAGCATCCAGTCCAAACATCAAAATGCACACCTATTTCTCGCCAACAAGGCGGGAGAAGAGGGAGGAGATGGTGAGGCCATGGCGGCAGTGGCCCTGGTGATGAGCAGCAGCAGAAGGGGTTGGGGGCAGCCCCGCGCTTTCTCCTGACGCACTCCAGGCAAACTGAACCAGGGAACAGAAAGAGCGGAGGAAGAAAGAGGGAGGCAGGAGCATCTCTTTGGACGCTGTGTCAATGAAGCTCCGGGACAGGAATTCACAGCAGAAGAGCTGCCAGGCGACTGCTAGACTCTAGGCTTTGGCTGTGCCATGTCACACAGTGGCCTCAGTGGCATTTTTTATGCCCGTTTCTCCACTGCCTCTTTTGTTTGTTTGTTTGTTTGAGACAGGGTCTCTGTCATCCAGGCAGGAGTGCAGTGGCATGATCACCGCTCACTGCAACCTCTGACACCTGGGTTCAAGTGATTCTCCTGCCTCAGCCTCCCGAATAGCTGGGACTACAGGCATGAGCCACCATGCCAAGCTGATTTTGTATTTTTAGTAGAGACAGGGTTTCTCCATGTTGGTCAGGCTGGTCTCAAACTCCTGACCTCGTGATCCACCTGCCTCGGCTTCCCAAAGTGCTGGGATTACAGGTGTGAGTCACTGTGCCATGCTGTTGTTTTGGTTTTTGTTTTCTGAGACGGAGTCTTGCTCTGTCGCCCAGGCTGGAGTGCAGTGGTGTAATCTAAGCTCACTGCAACCTCCCCCTCCCTGGTTCAAGCGATTCTCCTGCCTCAGCCTCCCGAGTAGCTGGGATTACAGGTGCGCATCACCATGCCTGGCTAATTTTTGCATTTTTAGTAGAGATAGGGTTTTACCATGTTGGCCAGGCTGATCTCGAACTCCTGACCTTGTCACCCACCTGCCTCGGCCTACCAAAGTGCTGGGATTACAGGTGTGAGCCACTGTGCCAGCCAAGGTACTTATTTATTGTACCCATCTTACAGATGTGAAGACTGAGACTGAGTGGGGGTTACCTGTCTTTTTTTTTTTCAGATGGGGGGTCTCACTCTGCTACCCACACACTGGAGTGCAGTGGCACAAACAGTTCACTGCGGCCTCAACCTCCTTGGGCTCCAGTGATCCTCCTGCCTCAGGCTCCTGTGTAGCTGGGACGACAGGCGTGTACCACCACAGCCGGCTAAATTTTTGATTTTTTCTGTAGAGACTGGCACTCACTTTGTTGCCCAGATTGGTCTTGAACTACTGGGCTCAAGAGATCCTCCACCTCAGCCTCCCAAGGTGTGTGACCGCGCCCAGCCCACCTGTCTTGTCTTGCCTGCCTCCTTTCGACTGTCGGTCTGCAACCACACTGATGCAGCTGCAGCGCGACTCACTCTCCCTGGTCACCTGGACCTCCTCTCCGGTTATACCAGAGACCTTCCTCTCTATGCTTTTAAGGACTATTATTTTTGTGCAAACAATTTTCTATGTTGGGGACAGGAAGAACAGGAAAGTGAGAAGGCTCATCTCCACGTTCCCTCCCTTCCGTGGGGCTCCCCACCCTTTTCTAAGAGAAGTTGAATGAACTTACATCTGGGCATTTGCTTCCTCAAGTTAACACCTCACCTTCCCCTACCAAGCTACGGTCTTCTGGAATATATTTTGTAAATGAAATACGAGCCCACATTTGGGTTCACGGCTCAGGCAGGTAATTTAATCTCACTGTGCCTCCATCTTCACCTGTAAAGTAGGCATAATCATCCCTACCTCATAGAACTGTTCCGTGTTTCAGTAAGATGGTATACATAAGGCTCTTGACACAGAGCCTGGCACACAGCAGGCACTAAATTATTGTATAATTAAAAACCTCTGCTCTCCCACCCTCCAGAGTTCTATGTGGCCCAGTCTCTGCCTGGTGGAGGCAAAAATTCACTTTTTTTTTTTTTTTTTTTTTTTTTTTTTTTGAGATGGAGGCTTGCTCTGTCCCCCAGGTTGGAGCGCAGTGGCACAATCTCGGCTCACTGGAACCTCTGCCTCCCAGTTTCAAGCAATTCTCCTGCCTCAGCCTTTCGAGTAGCTGGGACCACAGCTGCACACCATCATGCCCGGCTAATTTTTGTATTTTTGGTAGAGATGGGGTTTCACCATGTTGGCCAGGCTGATCTTGAACTCCTGACCTTGTGATCTGCCCACCTCTGCCTCCCAAAGTGCTGGAATTACAGGTGTAAGCCACCGTGCCCAGCTGAGAAATTCATTTTCTTACAAAGTTGTGCTGAGAGTTGATCAATCCTGGGGAAAGATCCATGATAATGAAACTTTCAAGAAGCTGATGTATAATTTTTTTTCCCCTCCACCTCCTAGATTCAAGCCATTCTCCTGCCTTGGCCTCCCCGGTAGCTGGGATCACAGGCATGTGCCAACATGCCCGGCTAATTTTTGTATTTTTTAGTAGAAACAGGGTTTCACCATGTTGGCCAGGCTGGTCTTGAACTCCTGACCTCATGAGCCACCCACCTCAGCCTCCCAAAGTACTGGGATTAGAGGCATGAGCCACTGTGCCCAGCCCTGATGTATGAATTTTAGTGGCATAATGTAATTGCTCTGTTTCTTAAGGCAGGATCCCCAACTCCTGGGACTGTTACTGGTCCATGACCTGCTAGGAACTGGGCTGCAGAGCAGGAGGTGAGCAGTCATGAGCATGACCACCTCAGCTCTGACCCTTGTCAGATCAGCAGCAGCATTAGATTCTCAGAAGAGTGCAAACCCTACTGTGAACTGTGCATTTCAGGGATCTAGGTTGTGCACTCCTTATAAGAATCTAATGCCTGATGATCTGAGGTGGAACAGTTTCATCCCCAAACCATTATCCGCCCCCACTCATCCATGGAAACATTGTCTGCCATGAAATGGGTCCCTGGTGCCAAAAAGGCTGTGGACTGCTGCCTTAAGGGGCATTGTGGGTGGAGGAGGAGGAGGCAGCTAAGGACCCTGGCTGGAGCCTGGTTTGAGAGCCTCCTTTAGATGTGAGCAGGTGGCTAATTCACTGGTAGAGCTTGGGCTACGCTGAGTTTTTCAGATGGAGGCTGGAGGGCAGGACAGAGGGGCAGAAGAGAACGTTTATTCATTCAACAGCTATGTGTTGAGCACCCACTGCCAGGTACTGTTCAGGGATGTTCAGGGATACATCATGGGCACCGTGCCCTGCTCTCATGGAGCTGTGGGACAGTCCACAAGGAGACTCAGGAAGTAAAATGTCAGGTAGACAGGTGAGTGATGGCTGAGGAGGCAAAGGCAGCGGGGCTGCTCCTGATCACAGCCCCAGACTTTGCACATGCACCCCTCCCTTCCCAGAGCTGCGGGATCAGGTTCTATTTTTATCCTCCTGTGACAGGGGAGGAAACCTGGGTTGGGGAGATTAAGTGGCTTCATTTGGGAAATTCAGCAGTACCAGAGGTTGAAACTCTAAGAGCCTGAGGCTAGGAAGGGAGAGGATGATGGGCTGTTGGGGGCTGGAGGGGACCACAGAGCCACCCCAAATCCCTTTTCAATGGCAGCCCTGCTGGCTCTCAGCTGTTTGCCACTGTGGCCTCTAAACTAGTCCTCAGAGACAGTAGCACAGGGACTGAGATGCTCAAATGAGTTTCTGTCCTGTTCCCCTTACAGATTCTGCTTCCCAGAGACTTCTCCAGCCTCAGGAAAGGTGGCTCCATGGAGCCATCGGGCCACTCATGAGTGGGTGAGCAGTAGGAAGGGAAAGAAGGGGACCTTGGTGTTCCCATCAGAGCCAGTGCCCAGGGAGGGCCCAGGTTCCTACCATACTCCTGGGGTTGTCTTAGGACAGTGGGGGACCCAACAGGGTTGTGAGCATTTGGTCGACAGCTTCAGACATGCTGGCTGGTCAGGGCAGCCCGCTGTGTGCATGTATCTGGGCTCTTTGAGGTCAAGACCAGGTGGAAAGGCTTTTTGTTCTGGTCTTGGAAGGAGTGCAGTGGGGTCTGTGTAAGTGGTGAGGTGGCCATCCCGGTGGCCAGAGTGCTCAAGATACCCAAGGAGATGAAATGGAGACAGCAGGAATGGGTTGTAGCCTCCAAGGTGGCTAACACAGAAGCCTGGAGATTGAGGAACTGTGCCGGGGCTTTGCGGACACAACCAGGATGGAGGTTCTAAGGGACCTGCCTGCAGATCCTCATCTCCCATACTCCCCTCCAGACCTTCCTGTGCCTGAGGACTGTGCTTGGTCCACTCTGCCAACTAGACAGGCAAGGCCTTCCCCCGCTGGAACCTTGTCCTAGAGTCTTGCCCTGGGGCGTAAAAAGGTCCTGGGCTCCCAGCAGAAACAGCTGGGCAGGGTTGGGAAAGGTGTTGGCTTCTCCTGCAAACTATTCCTAAGACTCTGGGGCTTTGAAGTCTCAGCTCTCCTGCAAGTTGGCTCTGTGACCTTGGGCAGGCCCCTTGGCCTCACTGAGCATGTTTCCTTACCTGTCAGCCTGGAGCAGAACATCTGCCTTCTGGGTGTGCGTGGGGACAAACCGTCTCCATGCAGGAACTAACTTCATGAATATTGCATAGACCTGTACATTCCAGGCAGTGGTGCTGCTGCTCATCCTGGAATACACGTGGAGGCCCCAGGGGCTTGGGGTGGGTGCAGCACACAAGGAAACTTGACCTTGCTGTTGGCAGGTTCAGTGGGCACCAAGGAAACCTTTTTTTGTTTTTGACGTTTTTATTGGGGTCTAATATACACAACGTGTAACCACCTTAAGTTACCGCTGGATTAAAACTGATTTATGTGGCCTGGCATGGTGGCTCACACTTGTAATCCCAACACTTTGGGGAGGCTGAGGTGGGCGGATCATCGAGGCCAGGAGTTCGAGACCAGCCTGGTCAACATGGTAAAACCCCATCTCTACACACACACACACACACACACACACACACACACACACACACACTCACTCTCTCTC